TATCCATAATTGACTTGAGGTCTAGTTCCGTTTTACCTTCCCGATTACATTTATCTTATATTCCATTATCATAACATCAGAAAAACACTATTCGTACAATTACAAACAGTAAACCATTAGATAACACAGAGTAGTCTAATGGCCGAGTGCTCGTATTTTCCAATCCACTGATAATGGATAAGTGGATATCATTGACTTCCTATAGGAGCTATGGATTCCACTATCTATGAATAACGAATCTACGCATACACGAGTCATACCCCCAATGTACCGGCAAGCATACCTTTACATAATGTCAGGATGTCTCCCTTTAGTACATCAAAGGATACAAGTCAAGTATACAGGTTCATCATCCATCTCAGGATTAAGATGACAACATATAATTCGTCAAAAGTGAATTGTTTTATTCAAACAAAATTATTAATTAAAATAATTCAACTTTGGTCCTATCCAATATAGATTTCACCATTAGAAACTATATCAATGTCTCCACCCATGGAGTCCCACCTCCGACGACCAAGACAAGCTGTCTCCGTTAGGAAGTAGACGACATAACAATCTTAACATGAATAAAGCGCCCAACTTTATTCTCTCGATTGTGGATCATAAGATTTAGACTATCATCTTTAGATTCTTGTCTTCCGCATGTTCTTCACATTACATGCACGACCTAAAGATTTAGAATGACAGTCTCAGACTTTCAGTTTGCTTATCATACATTTAACTATTATGAACATAAAGAGGACAATACATAGATATATGAAATAAACAAATCTTTATTAATAGTTAAAATGTCTCAAAGAATATTGTTACATTTATTTCTAAGGGCATAAATGCTAACAATCTCTCACTTGCACTTAAGTGAGTAAATGTGACATGCTACGCATCCCCATAGCCTCGACATGCTTCTTGAAGACCTTAGCCGACAGGGCCTTCGTGAACGGGTCAGTCATATTATCTTCCGACGTGATCTTGCAAATTTTCACATGTCCTTCTTCAATAAAGCTTCTTATCACGTGATACTTCTTGTCTATGTGCTTACTCATTTTTTGATATCTTGGTTCTTTGGTGTTAGCTATTGCCGCACTGTTATCACAGTATAGTCTCAATGGCTTATCCACACCAGGAACTACTTCAATATCCATCAGAAATTTACGGAGCCACACTACTTCTTTTGAAGCATCACTAGCTGCCACATACTCGGCTTCCATCGTTGAGTCAGAAGTGCAAGTTTGCTTGACACTCCTCCGAACAACGGAACCACCTCCCAGAGTAAAGACAAAACTCGAAGTCGATTTTCTAGAATCCAGACAGGATTGAAAATCTGAATCTGTAAATCCTAGAGGTGTCAAATCCTCCCCGGAATATATCAGCATATAATTTCTAGTCCTCCGAAGATACTTAAATATATGTTTGACCGCTACCCAGTGGTTAGGTCCTGGATTTGACTGATATCGACTTACAATCCCGACCGCATGATAAATGTCTGGTCGAGTACAAAGCATTGCATACATGAGGCTCCCAACCGCCGAAGCATAAGGTACCTTTGCCATGTATTCTCTTTCCTCAAATGTCTTGGGACAATCATTGTTCGAAAGAGTAATTCCAGACCTAGATGGTTGCCCACCTTTCTTGGAATTCTGCATTGCATACTTCTCGAGAATTTTATCTATGTATAAAGCCTGAGAGAGAGCTATCATTTTGTTCTTTCGATCTCTTAAGATTCGAATGCCCAGAACATAATTAGCTTCTCCTAAGTCCTTCATGTCAAACTGTTTGGTAAGCCAAACTTTGAC